GGGTCCACGGGTGGTTTAGGCTTGTTAACTGAGGGGGATACAGAAGCCCAGTTGAGGACACAGCAGAGGAGCGGAGCCCTGCAAACTCGCTTTGTACCGGCGGGTACGCACATCCGCACGTGTGCAAGTCCACGGATCATTGTTGCGGATGCGGAAACATTTGCATCTCTGCAGGGCTCTACAGACCAGCTCCTCCCTTGTGGGAGTTCTTGCCCTCTCCCCCCCAGATAGCACCCACAACTGCACCACGGTGATCCGGCGCACGTGCCTTCGGCAGCGAGCAGGGCTGTGCGCTGCAGGAGGCTGTGCTACGCATACCCCAATGCAGCAGTGCAGGTGCCTGGTGTGATGTGAATACTCCCTGGGCAAGGCAGTTGGAGCCCCAGCCATGATGCCATCCCAAAGCAGGTGTGCCAAGGCCTCTCCTAACCCAGCAGGGTGTGGCACGGCCAGCCCAGCTAATGATGACGAGCTGCTCTCCTAAGCAGTCCAGCGTTACCGAGACGATGCTATTCAGCTGGAAGGCCTGCAGTGTGAGTCCTGCTTGGCACAGAGGCAATCCTCCCATTGACTCTCGGGACCTGACCCTGCAGGCCCTAACACACGGGAGTGCTGTACAGGGCTTCACTGGGTGCAGGATTGGGCCCTTAGCCCAGGCTGGTTAAATCTAGTGCCCTAAACACACGGCACGGGCCTGATCCTGCTCTTTCCTGGCCTCATCACTGCACTGACGTCAGCAGAGCAACTCAGATTAGCACCAGTGTGACCGAGAACAGCACTTTTCTGTGACCACCGGGCCCTCCCTCCCATACTCAGCGCACACGGCATTGGCCCCTGCAGCACCTCGCTTTGCCAGTGATGCCCCAAATCGCTTTTTACCTTGTGTGATCACTTCATCTTCGCAGCGAAGGCCCTGGTACCCTTCCGGGCACACGCAGCTGAAGTTGGCAGAGCTGTTGCTGGATTGGTCTGTAGCCTCCGTACAAATCCCCCCATTGTCACAAGGATCCGCCAGGCATGGGCCAGCTGGAGAACGAGAGAAACACGTGAGCATCTCAGGACTGCCTGTGCCCAGGCTGCCGTCTGCTGTAGGTTCCAGTAACTGGCCATTCTGGACCTGCCCAGTATTTTAGGGAATCCTTATTTGAGGCCTGTCTCCCATAACAGCTCGATTAGGGATGTTCGTCCTGGGTTCCAGTCCCAATGGTTTCTCTGTACAGACAGTGTTGGGGAGGTGACAGCTCTGATTGAATCAGCTTCTGGCGGTGAGAGGGACATGCTCCCCCACCCCCACCCCTAGCGACAAACACCAGCAAAGGCCACGCGCCGTGGCCAGCGACTGACTCACGCGCATAGCACCCGCGAGTGAAGTTAGCGACGGCGCAGATCTCGCTGCGTGCGCACGTTGCCCTGGAACAGGCGATGCTGGAACTTTCTGTGCACACACACGTCTGCGAGCAGTCCTCAGTCGTGAACTTTTCTCCAGCCTACAAGAGAACAGCTAAGAGTCAGAGGCATCGACTCAAACCAGCCGACAACAGGAAGATGAAACAGGGACCCAGTCCAGGTCCCAAGAAGTCTGTACCAATCTGCCATTCACATCAGTGGGGGCAGGAGCAGGCCCTTTGCAGTGTGGGGAAGGTACGTACAGAAAACAAACCAGCAGCCTAGAAACCCCTGTGGCTCAGGCCCGCTAAGGACTCAAGGAGGGCCCAAGTCAAAAGGCCGCCAGTGGGTCTGAGAGAGCGATGGAGTCCTCGCCCCAGCTCAGCACGTGGGGCAGCCAGCAACGTCCCATTAGACTTGGGACCAGACATAGGAGCAGCCCACTGAGCCGCTAGCCAGCGGGGGCTTCTGGCCATCTAGATGTGTCAGCCTCTGGCACAGACCCAGCATGTCCCTTGGAGGCCCGCTCAGAGCTGGCTGGCTCAGTCCTGGTGACAGCGTTTCAGCGCAAAGCTATGGCGCTGCTTCCTGCCCTTCCGCAAGCGCGTGAAGCAGCTTCTGTGAGGTCAGGCCCTGCTTACAGAGCTCTTCACGCAGGGGCTAGTTCTGCCAGCTTTTGAACACGTCCCGTGTCAGCCCCACTGGCAGGACGGGCCCCAGCGAGGGCACGAATCAGAAGTTTTGTAACATCAGGGAAACCTTGCCCCTGGATTCCCATGTGCCATTGTTCAGAGCAGCGACGGGACATATTGACACAGGCTTCACCAAGCAAGCACCGGAGATCACCAAGGGCACGCTTCCCACGCACAGCGCGTCAGATACACTCGCAGTGCCTGCTGCTCCCTTCCTGGCCTTCCCTCTCCCCAGGGCCCAGAGCTGCATGCCCGCAAGAGCGGAAAGGGGTGGGAGTAACTAACTCGACGTCACCCCTGCCAGTGCGGCACCTTCCTACTGTACCTGATAGTATGTGCCGAGGAAGGTGCAGCCGCACGCCTTGTAGGGCACACAGTTATAGCCACTGAGGACGTATCCAGAGAGGCATTCGCAGCCTTCAACGCAGGGGGCCTCGCACTCGGAGGAGGCCGCCAGGTTGCTGCAGGAATCCGGGCACGCGCTCATGCAGCTGCTGTACTTGCTGTTCAGGGGACACTGCATCTCTGCAATAAAACCCAGGAGTCAGAGGATATCAGCAGGCTGCTACTGCCTGGGAATGTGTACTGAAGGCATTCTTCCCCCCAGGCCTGAACCACGGCTCTGCCTTTCCTACCCAGAGGCGGCTGCATTTCAGAGGTAGGTGAAATGGATCACGTAGGTGTTAGAAGAACATTACGGTTGCAGATCAAGCACTGGAAAGTCAGGAAACGGCAGAATTAATCCTGCACGTGCTTCCCACTCTCAGGTCTGCAGTTCAGTGATCTCAATGGGACCATTCCCAGGCATAGAATTGCCATGTGAGCGGGTTGGGAATTTTTTGGTGAATGGTTTTATTCTCCAAAAAAACGCGGCTTGACCGAACCTGCCTGTCTGCAAACCCCACATGGCTCTGATGAATCTTCTGACTCAATCGGTTTGGGGGGAAAGTTTCAAAATGTCCCTTTTTGGCATTTATAAAATGAAGAGTTTTTTGTTTTTTCAAGTCAAAATGACTTTCTGTTCCAAAATTGCAGTAAATATAGACAAAACCGTTAAACCTGAAGCAAAACGTTTCAAAAAGATCAAATTGAAGCGATTCAGTTGACCCCAACAGACTTGTGGTTTGTGAACATTTTCAAGATTTGGCTTTTCATCCTGATTCGAGATGAGAAAATTACAGAGTCTCTTAAGAATGTTCATGGGACGGGAAAAACATTGATCTCCTAGCTCGGTCAAGCACCTTGCTGAAGCAGGGGACAGACAAGCCAGCACAGGACTGAGAGGGACGGGTCAGAAGAGGGGGGCTGGTTGCCCAACTTTCTAACTGGCCTGTGCCCCAGGAGCCATGCGAAGGCACCACAAGAGCTGAGAGGGGATTAGGGTTCCTTTTAAAGCCCAGAAAAGTGCTGACTCTAAAAGAGCCAAACCTCAGATCCTGTGGATTCTTCCTAGCGGCAAACCCAGATTTCTGGGTCCGATAAAGGACTCTGATTGTTCTTACCACAAGACGTCTGCTGTCTCCAGTTTTCCAGAGTGACCCCGTTCTGCTGACAGGTCTGTGCGTACTGCTCCAGATGCCGACACAGCACAGCACTGTTATCAGCTTCCGCACACAGGTCAAAGACACAGCCCCTGCGTGCCCAAAACAATGGTTACGGCACCGCCAGCTGCTTTGCCCTGGACTCCCCATTGGAGCCCTCTCAAAGCACCCTGGGCACGGCTGGCTGAGGAACGTGCGAGAGGAGGAAACGGGGCCCTTGGGAAGATGAGGCGCAGGTTCTGCAGCTGCTGCTGGCGTGCAGCGTGTGTGCCCACCCGCGAAGAGACAGGGACGGGAGGGCATTTCAGAGCAGGGCCACCCTGTCCACGCTGTTCCTGGTGTCAGTGAGTGGCTGTTGGCGAGGAGACAAGGGATGGCCTCGTGCCGCTCTGTTTTGAGGACACTCCCACGTCAGGGCAGGTCTAAATGCTGCACTGGCACCGCATAGTGCTGCAGGGAAGCTGCTAGTGTGCGAACAGCAGAGCTCCTGTCGGCATGGTTACTCCATCTCTGTGAGAGGTGGTGGCGGTATGGACAGGAGCAGCCGCCTGGCCAACACAGCCCTGTCTGCACGGGATGGGAAGGACTCGTCAATTGGCTAGTCGACTAGTCGCTCCCCACCCCCCATGCTGCCTCTGTTGGAAAGAGGTACTTCAAAGCCGCAGCACCACATGGAGCCTGGGGCCAGACCCTGGGCTCCATGGGGCGCTGCCACTTTGAAATGCCGCGAGAAGCCTGATGCCATGCGTCTCACTGCGTTTCAAAGTGGCAGCGCCGCATGGGGCCCGGGGTCAACCTCCAGCTGATCCTGGGCTCCACATGGCGCTTTCGCCTTTGAAGTGTAGCACCAGCCCGAGAGTTGCTCGTTGCACAATGCACCGACTATCAATTCGTCAGAGACTCGATGGTCAACATCCCTCGTCTGCACGGGGGTTAGGGCGGGACAGCGACGTTGCCGGGGGAGGATGGCAGCGCCGCATGGGGCCCGGGGTCAACCTCCAGCTGATCCTGGGCTCCACATGGCGCTTTCGCCTTTGAAGTGTAGCACCAGCCCGAGAGTTGCTCGTTGCACAATGCACCGACTATCAATTCGTCAGAGACTCGATGGTCAACATCCCTCGTCTGCACGGGGGTTAGGGCGGGACAGCGACGTTGCCGGGGGAGGATTGCTATCCCCCCAGCCATTACAGCTGGGATTGCCAAGGAGGAAGTGCTGGCTGGGGTGACTGAGTTGGGTTGGTCCTGCTGTGGGCAGGGGGTTGGACTCGATGCCTCCTGAGGTCTCTGCCGGCCCGGGGGTTCTAGGACTCTAGAATTAGGCACCCAGATTAATATGCATTTGGTTCCTAAATCCCTTAGGCTCCCCCTGTATGCCATGGGGTGCAGCCGTGTTGGTCCCAGGCAAGTTCTGTCACTGGCCCCATGTCTGCTCGTGAGAGACAAGCCCTAGAGCCACACACAGCTGCACAAGCGTGAGACTCGGGCGGCTCTCACCCCCACAGGCATTGTTGGTTCAGTAAGGGATATTCCTTCCCCCCCATCCCCCTTGTGTCTCTGAAGCCCAGCTTGCAGGTGCCAGGGTTCCCCTTGCAGGCGTGGCTGGGGACGAGAGGAAAGCTCCGTTCAGAGCGCGGTCACTGCGAATTCCTCGCCCGACAAACGCAACGGTCGGTATGCATAGGCCGATGCTCAGGCCTTGTTAATGCAGATCTTGGGCCTGATCCTCCAGTCCCGCTCAGTGCCCAGGGGGTACGCAGGCGTTGCTTGCCAGGGTCAGGCCCTGAACGACCCGGAGACCGTGACTGAGAGCGGCGCACGCCCCCGGGATACTCACATCTGGGAGAAGCTGACGGAGACGTTGGGGTGACACTTCGCAAAGGGGCCGTTTGGATCGGTAAGAATCCCACACTTGGAAGTGGAGTTCACAAGGCTCAGCTGGCTGGAACTGCACCCTCTGGTGAGCCCCGTGTTTAACTCGAGAGCGTCCAGCTGCTCTTCGGAAAGGACGTCTCGCCTGCAATGAATCAAAGGTTGGCCGGAGTGCCATGGCTAGGGCAAGGCGGCTAGGCCTGGCCTGGCACGAGGCTGAGGGAGACGGGTGAGCACACTCCAGCGCGGTATCGAAACACCTCCCTTGCAATGATTCGCGGCGCTAAAGTCGGTGGGGCAGTTGCGGCCAGCCAGTGGGATATGCTGCAGACAGCAGCTGGGAGAGTTCACTTGCAGTTCCCACCCCAGCTCACCAGAGCCCTCTCGGGTGATGGCCTCTGGGACACTGCCGGACTAAGAGAAAAGTACCTCAAAGGTGCAATCTCTCTTCAATGCCACTGGCACTAGTGGGCCGTTGGCAGGTGCCTGAAGGCCAAACCGACTCTGTATCTGGCTCCTGGACACAACTGCCCCCTCTCCCCCCCACAGCCTGCTCCGTATTTATGTAGGGCCAGTACCTGCGGCGGGAGACTGTTCTTGTGACGGGGACTTTCCAGCTCTCCCCAAACACGTCCACATCCTGGACGCGAGTGCCGTCTGGCTTGGTAAAGTCGTTTTTATACTTCCCATCAAAGTTGCCGCACAGGCCTTCGACTTTGTTCTTGTAGGTGTTGGCCAGGACCATATCTAATGGGGCCAGAAGGAAAGAAACCTGTAGTCACAAGTGCACCAGGGATGTGGAATGGAATAGCAGGCAGCCTCGCGTCGTGAGCCATACCATAGGCTGATGCCGTGGCAGGAGCCCTGTGCCGGGGGGAGAGACCAGCCCACGTATCCTGGTGACTCAGCTCTCTGGGACATATGCCTACTCGGCATTAAACAACCTGCTGCACACTGCGGCTTGCCTGGTCAGCTGACTCAGGCTTGTGGGGTGCCAAGCTAAAAATAGCAGAGCAGCTGTTTGGGCTCACGCGGGAGCCTGGGATCTGAGGCCCTGTGGAGAGGGTGGATCTCAGCGCCGGGGCTTTAGCCTGAGTCCATGTGACTACACTGCTATTTTTACCCCCGGAAGCCCAAGTCAGCTGGCTCAGGCTTGGTGCCGTGGGTTTTTTATTGCAGTGCAGACTTAACCTAAGGGATCTCCCGCCCTGCAGGGTGCATTCTATTGGATATCACTGAGTTCCTGGAAAGCAGACCTTCCCTTCCTGCAGGACGACTGGGATTTTAAGGCTTTGTGACTAGGAGTATGGGAATAAGCACCCCCCCACAGACACATACTCCCTAGCCACCTTGCTTATGTAATATGGCAGGATTCTGGTCTCCCGTACCTCTGCTGCAAGTCAGGAATAAAGGCATTCAAGTCAATGGAGATGTAGTCATGTAAAATGGGTGCAAGTGAGAAGGGCCCCAGATCTATTAAGGGGGGCTTCTGAGAAGGGGAGAGGTAGTGAGTGTCCCCACTGCAGCCCTAGGGCTTGGGGCAAAGCACCAAACTTCACTGGCCATTTGGAAAATCAGCCAAGGGTCTGGTCCAACCTTTGTCCATTGATCTCAGGAGCAAATTCGGTTGTTTGCTTTTGCTAAACCTCCATCAGGTGTCAGTGCTGCATTAACAAAGCTAGGAACAGTCTGCACCCAGGCCCCATTCTACCCAAACCAAGGCTATTTGGGGGAGCCAGGCAGAAGGTGCCGGCTTTGCTGGCTCTCTAGTTCCTGGGAAGTAATCTGCCCACGGTTATCTGGGATTTCACGCTGCAAAGAAGAATCTTGTAGTTAGACAAGGCAAGTTCGCAGGTTCCTCTGGGATTGGCCTCTCCTATAGGACGTGGCATTCGATGCATTCTACAGGGGGTTCTCTTGATTGTTCTTACCTAAGTTTTCAACACCATCGTAGCTGAGTGATAAGCCAAAATCTGTCTCCAGGTAGATTCTCATTGGTTTCTGGTATATGCGAAGACCTTCATGAGGCTGGGCTGGGGGAATGGTGTTCACTCCATCCACCTAACAGAGAGAGAATTATTTATAACTCAGTGGACGGATCACATTCAAACCTGCTCCCAGCTGAGGTCTGGAGCACACAGCTATATTTTCTGGTTTCAGATTTTGTAATGAAATTTTCAGACAGCCATAGCCATAAACAACTGATCTTCAGTGCCTAGCTCTAAATGTGGTATGGACTGAGCTGAATTTCAGTATTTTCACGCCACTTTGGGAGACTTCTGGTTTTTGGCTAGAAAAGAAGTTGACACATTTCCATAAGCAAAATGTGTACTAGTAAGTGATGATGATAGTGTGCGTAAGGCAATATAATTCCTGCAGTATCATTATGTGCTTTCTCTTCCATACTAGTGAAGCCAGATCTCGGTGTTATTGTGAATCTTGTGATGTTTGGTGGTGTTTGCAAAGAGCCAACACCAGTAGGCAGGGAAGCCCAGGGGAACCTCAGTTTTCAGTAACAAATAAAGAAGTGAATGAGCATCCCTTGGAGAAAAGCTGGAAAATGTGACCCTTAAATCTTAAAAAGGCAAAGCAACACGACACGGAATTTATTATTTTTTACAAACCACCCTGATTTTTAAGGCAATCTTGTGATTTCTGTGGCCTGACTCCTGATTTCTGCACACCCCAGGTTAGCAATCCTGAGGCTGTTCTCTCTCTCTCTCCTCTCACTCTCCCCATCTCACTCCCTTTGGCTACATCTAGACTGCAGGATTCTTTCGGAAGAAGCTTTCCCGGAAGAGATCTTCTGAAAAAAACTTCTTCCAAAAGACAGCATCCACACTGCCACAATGCATCAGAAAAGTGATCTGCTTTTTCGAAAGATAGCATCCAGACTGAATGGACGCTCTCTCTCATTTCAGCTGTGATTACTACGGGTGGAGTGGCCACCAGGGCACCTGCGCTTTTTCCTCTTCTTCTGGAAGAATTCCCTCTTCCCTATCCACACATGCCTTTTTCCGAAAGAGCTCTTTCGGAAAAAGGCTTCTTCCTTGTAGAAAGAGGCTTACCAATGTCGGAAAAACCCCTCTGTTCTTTCGATTTTTTGTTGAAAGAACGTGATTGCAGTGTGGACATAATTGAAGGGTTTTCTGACAAAACTCTGCAGTGTAGACACACCCTGAATGTCAGCAGGGTTTGTGCCACTGAACAGCGCTCCTCGCTTTCACTGCCAGGAGTGTTCACAGCAGCACAAGGCGCACCATTAGTGATTCCATGCTGGGAAGCCATCCCTGTGAACCAGGCATAGCTGCAAGTCATTGCTGGGAAGAGCCGACTGTTGGGTTCAGAGTGCCCTGTTGCTTATCGACCTCACTAAATGAGACTGTGAGCCAGGCACTCAGGGATTTTAAACCCAGCCCTGACACTCCCATCATCATCAAGTCCCTTGACTGCTCCGTGCCTCAGTTTCCCCATCTATCCCTATTCACTACCTCACAGGCAGCTGTGAAGGATACTGGCATAATGTAGGCCAAGCATGATGAGATGCTGAGACCCATTGTGAGCTGCTGGTTTTCAGGATGGGCCCAGATCCAGTGCTGGGTGTTCTGTGCAGTGCCTACTTCCATACAGCCCAGCGTCTGCACTCACACATCATTCCTGAGGCCAACAAGCGATTTCTCTGTGAGCAGACACCCAGCAGAGTCCCGTGGTTATGCTTCAAGTCCATTTTGGAACCAGACAGCAGCATTTATGCTCGTCTGAGGCCCATTCAGCGACCACGAGAGAGTCTGCTGCAGTCTAGAAACCCAAGGCGACCACACCCCTTATAAATGGTCAGGAATCCCTACTGATTACTCCACGTTTTTTGATGTTACACAGAAAAACAACGGTGTGTGCAGCTCCATGCACTTCTTACCACTAGCTGCTTCTTCTGCCCCAACCACACGGTGTGATTGTAAACGCTGATATGTATCTCCTGGAGAAAGGAAAGGTCTGGCCTTTTAGTCACTAGCTTGTTCTTCCCCTCGATGCTGAAGGCTGGCAGACGGTCAGAGATGCTGGAGACCGTCTGAGACAGCACATATGTCTTTTTGCCTTGGAAGTGATGCATCAAGCCATCAAACGTCATGTAGTGTGGGTCTCCGATGACGAGGCATTTCCCAAAGCCTAACAGAGAACAGAGAACCTTAGCGTCCAGTCCCACAGGGCAGAGGCTGTGCTGGGGCTGGTGAGTTATGACCATTGCTAACCTGGGAAAGCGAAGATAGCCCAGTGGCCACAACATGGACACACAGACCAGCTGACAGACAGTGAAACTCATCCCTGTGCTGAGCCGGGGACTCCTCGGGGCCGGGGCAAGGGCAAGGTCTGAGTGGTTCCCAGGCCTGGGGAGATGGTGCATGCAGACCCCCTGCCAAGGAGCGAGTCTCCCCAAACACTGTCGTGGGCTTAACGTGGCCTCTGAGAAGTGCCAATTTGGTCACTGCCTGACAGCAGCATTTCAGCAAGTTGCAACACAATGCGGGGGCTTGCACAGGGCGTGTCTGTATTTGAAATGTCACTCTGTCTGGCTCTGACCCACCTCGGAGGTCTTTATCTTTACTCCTATCTTGTAACCCAGCCACTTTGCACACTGGGCAAAAGCAATAGAGGGTCAGGGTGTATCTGACCCCCATGCAGGTGTGAAAAGGGGAAGGGCAGTGATGCACAGAGTCTTCTCCCCTCTTTGATCATCCCATGCAGGGGCCAGACTCAGTCCAAATCCCCACCTCTCCTACGCACAGGTTCATTCTGGTGCCGCCAAAGTATTAGGAGAGCACAGATGGGGAGGGGAGGAGGTAGGGATATAAGAGTTTAACCATTTAACCAGTATCAGCTTATCAGTCACGGTTGCAGTTAAACTCTTCTGCCAGCGTGTGCAAGGTCCTGGCCCTGCTCCTGAGAGCCAGCTGCCCTCCCCACTCCCCGCTGGAGACTTCTGGTTTTTGGCTAGAAAAGAAGTTGACACATTTCCATAAGCAAAATGTGTACTAGTAAGTGATGATGATAGTGTGCGTAGGGCAATATAATTCCTGCAGTATCATTATGTGCTTTCTCTTCCGTACTAGTGAAGCCAGATCTCGGTGTTATTGTGAATCTTGTGATGTTTGGTGGTGTTTGCAAAGAGCCAACACCAGTAGGCAGGGAAGCCCAGGGGAACCTCAGTTTTCAGTAACAAATAAAGAAGTGAATGAGCATCCCTTGGAGAAAAGCTGGAAAATGTGACCCTTAAATCTTAAAAAGGCAAAGCAACACGACACGGAATTTATTATTTTTTACAAACCACCCTGATTTTTAAGGCAATCTTGTGATTTCTGTGGCCTGACTCCTGATTTCTGCACACCCCAGGTTAGCAATCCTGAGGCTGTTCTCTCTCTCTCTCCTCTCACTCTCCCCATCTCACTCCCTTTGGCTACATCTAGACTGCAGGATTCTTTCGGAAGAAGCTTTCCCGGAAGAGATCTTCTGAAAAAAACTTCTTCCAAAAGACAGCATCCACACTGCCACAATGCATCAGAAAAGTGATCTGCTTTTTCGAAAGATAGCATCCAGACTGAATGGACGCTCTCTCTCATTTCAGCTGTGATTACTACGGGTGGAGTGGCCACCAGGGCACCTGCGCTTTTTCCTCTTCTTCTGGAAGAATTCCCTCTTCCCTATCCACACATGCCTTTTTCCGAAAGAGCTCTTTCGGAAAAAGGCTTCTTCCTTGTAGAAAGAGGCTTACCAATGTCGGAAAAACCCCTCTGTTCTTTCGATTTTTTGTTGAAAGAACGTGATTGCAGTGTGGACATAATTGAAGGGTTTTCTGACAAAACTCTGCAGTGTAGACACACCCTGAATGTCAGCAGGGTTTGTGCCACTGAACAGCGCTCCTCGCTTTCACTGCCAGGAGTGTTCACAGCAGCACAAGGCGCACCATTAGTGATTCCATGCTGGGAAGCCATCCCTGTGAACCAGGCATAGCTGCAAGTCATTGCTGGGAAGAGCCGACTGTTGGGTTCAGAGTGCCCTGTTGCTTATCGACCTCACTAAATGAGACTGTGAGCCAGGCACTCAGGGATTTTAAACCCAGCCCTGACACTCCCATCATCATCAAGTCCCTTGACTGCTCCGTGCCTCAGTTTCCCCATCTATCCCTATTCACTACCTCACAGGCAGCTGTGAAGGATACTGGCATAATGTAGGTCAAGCATGATGAGATGCTGAGACCCATTGTGAGCTGCTGGTTTTCAGGATGGGCCCAGATCCAGTGCTGGGTGTTCTGTGCAGTGCCTACTTCCATACAGCCCAGCGTCTGCACTCACACATCATTCCTGAGGCCAACAAGCGATTTCTCTGTGAGCAGACACCCAGCAGAGTCCCGTGGTTATGCTTCAAGTCCATTTTGGAACCAGACAGCAGCATTTATGCTCGTCTGAGGCCCATTCAGCGACCACGAGAGAGTCTGCTGCAGTCTAGAAACCCAAGGCGACCACACCCCTTATAAATGGTCAGGAATCCCTACTGATTACTCCACGTTTTTTGATGTTACACAGAAAAACAACGGTGTGTGCAGCTCCATGCACTTCTTACCACTAGCTGCTTCTTCTGCCCCAACCACACGGTGTGATTGTAAACGCTGATATGTATCTCCTGGAGAAAGGAAAGGTCTGGCCTTTTAGTCACTAGCTTGTTCTTCCCCTCGATGCTGAAGGCTGGCAGACGGTCAGAGATGCTGGAGACCGTCTGAGACAGCACATATGTCTTTTTGCCTTGGAAGTGATGCATCAAGCCATCAAACGTCATGTAGTGTGGGTCTCCGATGACGAGGCATTTCCCAAAGCCTAACAGAGAACAGAGAACCTTAGCGTCCAGTCCCACAGGGCAGAGGCTGTGCTGGGGCTGGTGAGTTATGACCATTGCTAACCTGGGAAAGCGAAGATAGCCCAGTGGCCACAACATGGACACACAGACCAGCTGACAGACAGTGAAACTCATCCCTGTGCTGAGCCGGGGACTCCTCGGGGCCGGGGCAAGGGCAAGGTCTGAGTGGTTCCCAGGCCTGGGGAGATGGTGCATGCAGACCCCCTGCCAAGGAGCGAGTCTCCCCAAACACTGTCGTGGGCTTAACGTGGCCTCTGAGAAGTGCCAATTTGGTCACTGCCTGACAGCAGCATTTCAGCAAGTTGCAACACAATGCGGGGGCTTGCACAGGGCGTGTCTGTATTTGAAATGTCACTCTGTCTGGCTCTGACCCACCTCGGAGGTCTTTATCTTTACTCCTTTCTTTCAACCCAGCCACTTTGCACACTGGGCAAAAGCAATAGAGGGTCAGGGTGTATCTGACCCCCATGCAGGTGTGAAAAGGGGAAGGGCAGTGATGCACAGAGTCTTCTCCCCTCTTTGATCATCCCATGCAGGGGCCAGACTCAGTCCAAATCCCCACCTCTCCTACGCACAGGTTCATTCTGGTGCCGCCAAAGTATTAGGAGAGCACAGATGGGGAGGGGAGGAGGTAGGGATATAAGAGTTTAACCATTTAACCAGTATCAGCTTATCAGTCACGGTTGCAGTTAAACTCTTCTGCCAGCGTGTGCAAGGTCCTGGCCCTGCTCCTGAGAGCCAGCTGCCCTCCCCACTCCCCAGCTCTCTGGGACATATGCCTACTCGGCATTAAACAACCTGCTGCACACTGCGGCTTGCCTGGTCAGCTGACTCAGGCTTGTGGGGTGCCAAGCTAAAAATAGCAGAGCAGCTGTTTGGGCTCACGCGGGAGCCTGGGATCTGAGGCCCTGTGGAGAGGGTGGATCTCAGCGCCGGGGCTTTAGCCTGAGTCCATGTGACTACACTGCTATTTTTACCCCCGGAAGCCCAAGTCAGCTGGCTCAGGCTTGGTGCCGTGGGTTTTTTATTGCAGTGCAGACTTAACCTAAGGGATCTCCCGCCCTGCAGGGTGCATTCTATTGGATATCACTGAGTTCCTGGAAAGCAGACCTTCCCTTCCTGCAGGACGACTGGGATTTTAAGGCTTTGTGACTAGGAGTATGGGAATAAGCACCCCCCCACAGACACATACTCCCTAGCCACCTTGCTTATGTAATATGGCAGGATTCTGGTCTCCCGTACCTCTGCTGCAAGTCAGGAATAAAGGCATTCAAGTCAATGGAGATGTAGTCATGTAAAATGGGTGCAAGTGAGAAGGGCCCCAGATCTATTAAGGGGGGCTTCTGAGAAGGGGAGAGGTAGTGAGGGCCCCCACTGCAGCCCTAGGGCTTGGGGCAAAGCACCAAACTTCACTGGCCATTTGGAAAATCAGCCAAGGGTCTGGTCCAACCTTTGTCCATTGATCTCAGGAGCAAATTCGGTTGTTTGCTTTTGCTAAACCTCCATCAGGTGTCAGTGCTGCATTAACAAAGCTAGGAACAGTCTGCACCCAGGCCCCATTCTACCCAAACCAAGGCTATTTGGGGGAGCCAGGCAGAAGGTGCCGGCTTTGCTGGCTCTCTAGTTCCTGGGAAGTAATCTGCCCACGGTTATCTGGGATTTCACGCTGCAAAGAAGAATCTTGTAGTTAGACAAGGCAAGTTCGCAGGTTCCTCTGGGATTGGCCTCTCCTATAGGACGTGGCATTCGATGCATTCTACAGGGGGTTCTCTTGATTGTTCTTACCTAAGTTTTCAACACCATCGTAGCTGAGTGATAAGCCAAAATCTGTCTCCAGGTAGATTCTCATTGGTTTCTGGTATATGCGAAGACCTTCATGAGGCTGGGCTGGGGGAATGGTGTTCACTCCATCCACCTAACAGAGAGAGAATTATTTATAACTCAGTGGACGGATCACATTCAAACCTGCTCCCAGCTGAGGTCTGGAGCACACAGCTATATTTTCTGGTTTCAGATTTTGTAATGAAATTTTCAGACAGCCATAGCCATAAACAACTGATCTTCAGTGCCTAGCTCTAAATGTGGTATGGACTGAGCTGAATTTCAGTATTTTCACGCCACTTTGGGAGACTTCTGGTTTTTGGCTAGAAAAGAAGTTGACACATTTCCATAAGCAAAATGTGTACTAGTAAGTGATGATGATAGTGTGCGTAGGGCAATATAATTCCTGCAGTATCATTATGTGCTTTCTCTTCCGTACTAGTGAAGCCAGATCTCGGTGTTATTGTGAATCTTGTGATGTTTGGTGGTGTTTGCAAAGAGCCAACACCAGTAGGCAGGGAAGCCCAGGGGAACCTCAGTTTTCAGTAACAAATAAAGAAGTGAATGAGCATCCCTTGGAGAAAAGCTGGAAAATGTGACCCTTAAATCTTAAAAAGGCAAAGCAACACGACACGGAATTTATTATTTTTTACAAACCACCCTGATTTTTAAGGCAATCTTGTGATTTCTGTGGCCTGACTCCTGATTTCTGCACACCCCAGGTTAGCAATCCTGAGGCTGTTCTCTCTCTCTCTCCTCTCACTCTCCCCATCTCACTCCCTTTGGCTACATCTAGACTGCAGGATTCTTTCGGAAGAAGCTTTCCCGGAAGAGATCTTCTGAAAAAAACTTCTTCCAAAAGACAGCATCCACACTGCCACAATGCATCAGAAAAGTGATCTGCTTTTTCGAAAGATAGCATCCAGACTGAATGGACGCTCTCTCTCATTTCAGCTGTGATTACTACGGGTGGAGTGGCCACCAGGGCACCTGCGCTTTTTCCTCTTCTTCTGGAAGAATTCCCTCTTCCCTATCCACACATGCCTTTTTCCGAAAGAGCTCTTTCGGAAAAAGGCTTCTTCCTTGTAGAAAGAGGCTTACCAATGTCGGAAAAACCCCTCTGTTCTTTCGATTTTTTGTTGAAAGAACGTGATTGCAGTGTGGACATAATTGAAGGGTTTTCTGACAAAACTCTGCAGTGTAGACACACCCTGAATGTCAGCAGGGTTTGTGCCACTGAACAGCGCTCCTCGCTTTCACTGCCAGGAGTGTTCACAGCAGCACAAGGCGCACCATTAGTGATTCCATGCTGGGAAGCCATCCCTGTGAACCAGGCATAGCTGCAAGTCATTGCTGGGAAGAGCCGACTGTTGGGTTCAGAGTGCCCTGTTGCTTATCGACCTCACTAAATGAGACTGTGAGCCAGGCACTCAGGGATTTTAAACCCAGCCCTGACACTCCCATCATCATCAAGTCCCTTGACTGCTCCGTGCCTCAGTTTCCCCATCTATCCCTATTCACTACCTCACAGGCAGCTGTGAAGGATACTGGCATAATGTAGGTCAAGCATGATGAGATGCTGAGACCCATTGTGAGCTGCTGGTTTTCAGGATGGGCCCAGATCCAGTGCTGGGTGTTCTGTGCAGTGCCTACTTCCATACAGCCCAGCGTCTGCACTCACACATCATTCCTGAGGCCAACAAGCGATTTCTCTGTGAGCAGACACCCAGCAGAGTCCCGTGGTTATGCTTCAAGTCCATTTTGGAACCAGACAGCAGCATTTATGCTCGTCTGAGGCCCATTCAGCGACCACGAGAGAGTCTGCTGCAGTCTAGAAACCCAAGGCGACCACACCCCTTATAAATGGTCAGGAATCCCTACTGATTACTCCACGTTTTTTGATGTTACACAGAAAAACAACGGTGTGTGCAGCTCCATGCACTTCTTACCACTAGCTGCTTCTTCTGCCCCAACCACACGGTGTGATTGTAAACGCTGATATGTATCTCCTGGAGAAAGGAAAGGTCTGGCCTTTTAGTCACTAGCTTGTTCTTCCCCTCGATGCTGAAGGCTGGCAGACGGTCAGAGATGCTGGAGACCGTCTGAGACAGCACATATGTCTTTTTGCCTTGGAAGTGATGCATCAAGCCATCAAACGTCATGTAGTGTGGGTCTCCGATGACGAGGCATTTCCCAAAGCCTAACAGAGAACAGAGAACCTTAGCGTCCAGTCCCACAGGGCAGAGGCTGTGCTGGGGCTGGTGAGTTATGACCATTGCTAACCTGGGAAAGCGAAGATAGCCCAGTGGCCACAACATGGACACACAGACCAGCTGACAGACAGTGAAACTCATCCCTGTGCTGAGCCGGGGACTCCTCGGGGCCGGGGCAAGGGCAAGGTCTGAGTGGTTCCCAGGCCTGGGGAGATGGTGCATGCAGACCCCCTGCCAAGGAGCGAGTCTCCCCAAACACTGTCGTGGGCTTAACGTGGCCTCTGAGAAGTGCCAATTTGGTCACTGCCTGACAGCAGCATTTCAGCAAGTTGCAACACAATGCGGGGGCTTGCACAGGGCGTGTCTGTATTTGAAATGTCACTCTGTCTGGCTCTGACCCACCTCGGAGGTCTTTATCTTTACTCCTATCTTGTAACCCAGCCACTTTGCACACTGGGCAAAAGCAATAGAGGGTCAGGGTGTATCTGACCCCCATGCAGGTGTGAAAAGGGGAAGGGCAGTGATGCACAGAGTCTTCTCCCCTCTTTGATCATCCCATGCAGGGGCCAGACTCAGTCCAAATCCCCACCTCTCCTACGCACAGGTTCATTCTGGTGCCGCCAAAGTATTAGGAGAGCACAGATGGGGAGGGGAGGAGGTAGGGATATAAGAGTTTAACCATTTAACCAGTATCAGCTTATCAGTCACGGTTGCAGTTAAACTCTTCTGCCAGCGTGTGCAAGGTCCTGGCCCTGCTCCTGAGAGCCAGCTGCCCTCCCCACTCCCCCCACCAGGGGCCAGGACCAGGAGCGGCCCAAGGCCGGCTGTAGCAGCTGGTGCCCCAGGCGGAAGGCGCGATCGGCACCCCTGCCTGCATGGCCGTCAATGGCCGTGACGTAATCACGGGGCGCCCTGGCACCCTGTGATGTGATCATCGGGCGCCCAGGCTGGCGACGCCCTAGGCAACTGCCTAGTTTGCCAAGGCTCACGGGCTGCCCCTGGCCAGGACTAAGCAATCCCGGTTCAGTCCTGGCTAGTCCCAGGTCCAGGAGATACCCCCACTGCAGCTCTGCAGTTTAAATGTAGTAGGAACTAGGCTGCCTGTGTGCCCGGCTCTTTCTATGTTAAAACTGCAGAACTACAGTGGGGGGATATGCCTTCCCTCATTAACTAACCGTGTAGTCGATATAAATTGTATCAATGACTTGAGTGCCTTGTTACCCACCTCTTACCATCCTTATTACCAACCAAATATCAGGCGAGTTTCTATTTAAAAATACATCAGTCTGGTTTTCCCTTTCACCTCACAAATTCAGCGTCTGTGAGGAGAGCAGCTCACGCAGCAAGCTGAGACCTGGCCACGTCCTCTCAACCATTCAAACAGGCAGGACTGAAAGGGATCACCCTTCCTGGGAGCCTGATTCTCCACTGCTTTACGCCTTGCGCCATCATTTCAAGCTGGGCAAAGTCAGTGGAACTCCCTGCCCTGCTCGTGTGTGAGCATTGTACGCCCCATTTGCCCCACCTTTCTGCAGGAGAATGAGCAAGGCCATGGAGGATCAGGGCCCTTGTGTCCTGTGATGTTTTGTATTCACTTATCCTTTTCCAAAGTGCTGGGGGCCAATCCTCGTTTGCATTAGAAGCCCTGTGCAGTGCAGTGTCGAGAGGCCATAGCGTGGACATACGTTACTATTATGGCTCTGGGCCAAGAAAAAAAAAAGCCAGGGAAAATTTGTCAAGCAAAAAAATAAAGTTGGGGAGTTCGGGAGGTCGGGCTGAAATGCGGTTGCAGCTCCCTGCCACTAAGACCAGCTTTGTCAGCAGCCCCTTCAAAATGCTGGCGCCTGCCCAGCTCGCCCGCCCCTAAGACCGGCTCTGACTTACTCCTCCTTCCAAAGCTGCTTTGCACTAGTGAATGGCTCTCCCTTGGGAAACAACCCTTGGCGCCCAGCCCCATGCCTCCCCCCACAGCTGCCCGGCCCCACTTGCACATACCTGTTGGTTTACAGTGGTATTTCCCCTTGTTGTTGAGGACACAGACCTCTGAAGCATCGCAGCCATAGGGCTGGCACTTGATGATATTGTCCTTCTGACACTTGCACTTGTAGGTACAATGGGCAGTTATCCAGCTCTCCCCCGCCTGCGGGAATGAGGCTGGGTTAATGACACTACCCTGCTCTCCTGCGATTCGCATCGGAGCAAGTCAACAGTCACCTACTGTACAGGCTGTTCCTGCGTGGGGAAGCCAGACTCCGCTGGCTGCGTTAAGGCCACAGAGAAATCCCCACTCAAGAAATACGTTCCCTTTGGATTCTCCGCAGCAGACTCATCTTTCCTCCACTTTGCTACCACACTACAGTGACAACAGACCTGCTGGTTGAACTGCCTCGTGTGTGCTGCTTTAGACATACAACAGGACAGGGCAAATCTCCAGAGTGACCTTTGGCAAATCACCAGCAGCCATGTTTTCAACAGGGGCCCCTGACTCTGGGCCCACCTGCGCTACGGTCTCAGTATGGGGGATGGCTGAGAGGGCTCAGGTCCTGCCCTGCCCGAGTACCTCAGGGCTCTGTGTTTGCTGCCCCTCTGTACCCTCAGGACTGAACCTGGTACCTCAGGGCTGTTTGCTGTCCCTTAGCTCCCCACCTTGAACCCGGGACTGGGTCTGAAACCCTGGTCTATTGTCTCTAGCGCTCAGCATAATTGACTCCCGGCTCGACCTGGTGACAGACCCAAGCCCCTGGAAGTAGCGACTGCAGGAGTGGACTGACCAGAGGCCAGAGCCCCGAACTCTTGATACCGCTGATTCCCCAAGTGAGACTAAGCAAGGATGCAGTGAGGCGCCGGGGCTGCCCACTGACCCAGAGCAGGAGGGCCCCCTCCCACCACCCTGGTTGGCCACACCGACCCTCCAGCGCAGCAGGCAGACAGCTTATGAGCTGTTTGCAGCGTAGAATACTACTTACACTGTAGTAGCTATCGTCCTTATCCCTGCAACCGCACTCGCTCAGTGGCACACACTGGTCATCGCTCAGCACGTAGCCCTCGCTGCACACACAGCCTTCCGCACACTCGTCTGGCTTTTCACACAGGGAGGGCGCGTAGATGTCATTGCATGTCGCAGGGCAGGGAGAAGCACAGTCTGTGTAATAGCTGTTGGATGGACAAGGCAGCGCTGGGAAGAGAATAAATACAGCCTTATTACAAAGCACAAGAGAACTTTTTGATGTTCCAGAGTGGACATGCCTGGTGCTGGCTGGAAGTCAGCGCCTGGATGGTGACAGATCAGTGTAGGTTACTTCTTTCCTTTCCGGTAATGGCATAGCTGTGGATTCCTGTTCTCTTTCAAACAGGTCAGCCTCTCTGAAACTATCCATTCAATTCTAGCACGAGCACGTCTGCATGCGTGGCGTTTGGTTGAGGTGTGCTACCGGTTGAACATCTCCAGTCTGGGACCCTCAGGACCAGAGAATTTTCAAGATTATGGGAGGTCAGTATTGTCTAGCAGCATGACCAACACTGCCACTGCTTACTGGGCACTTACAAGACACGGTGGGGTAAATTAGAGTTAAATAACTGCACAGAACACGGAGAGCCAGGACTGGTGGTTGTAAACAAACTTTATGGAATTGTTGGAAATTTGGCCACACCCATTGTAAGGGGACATCTGGCTAACTACAATCCTGTCAGACCACAGATGTTGCTGGACCAGAAAGTGCCAGATTAGAGAGGTTTAACCTGTAGTTCAGTATCACATGCAGTCTTGGTAATTGTTCCCAAAATAAATATACAAGAAGACTCAGAGGGGTAGCCGTGTTAGTCTGTAACTTTAAAAACAACAAGTGGCCCTGTAGCACCTAAGGGTATGTCTACACTACCACCCTAGTTCGAACTAGGGTGGTTAATGTAGGCAACCGGAGTTGCAAATGAAGCCCGGGATTTCAATTTCCCAGGCTTCATTTGCATATTGCCGGGCGCCGCCATTTTTAAATGTCCGCTAGTTTGGACTCTGTGCCCACGGCTACACGTGGCACGGACTAGGTAGTTCGGATTAGGCTTCCTATTCCGAACTATCTGTACACCTCGTTCCACACCTTGTGCTTCATTTGCATAATGTTGGCCGCATGTTCTTTTTCGAAAGAGGGATGTAGTCTAGACATGCCCTAACAGCTCAAGCTAGTACTTGCTACTTTTGACTCAGAAGAGCCAGAACTCCACCACATAGCAAAGATCTGGCCAAAGCTTTGAATTTCTGAACTGAGCTCAGAAAACAGCTGCGTGATCATGCAGGCACACAGCTTGGCTTACAGGGAACTATATTACAGTATTATATATTTTCGTCACCACATAGCAAAGATCTGGACAAAGCTTTGAATTTCTGAACTGAGCTCAGAAAACAGCTGCGTGATCATGCAGGCACACAGCTTGGCTTATAGGGAACTATATTACAGTATTATGTATTTTTGTTGGTAAAACCCTCTTCCTCAGATGAGCAGAGAAGTGGGTTTTTTGCTTATGAAAGCTCATGATACTATATATATATATATATATATATATATATATATTTGTTAGTCTTTAAGGTGCTACAGGACCACTTGCCATACAAAAAGAGTGTGAGGGCCAGACCCACCCATGTGCTCCAGGGGCTTTGCATTACTCTGTGAATCAAAACTGCTAGAATTGTGCTTTAACTGAGTGGCTACATTTGCATTTCTGTCTCTTGCAGTGTAAGTGAAGCTGGCTTTGAATATACACCAGGCCATCGTTAGGCCTTCCTTCAGCAGCACTGCCACCAGGAAGTTTGGAGGTATGCTCTCTAATACTCTTATCTCCCGTCTTCATTGTAGCCTCATTACAGTTTTTAAAAGGCCTTTTTGACTGCTCAAACCAACCCACCTCAGGGCTGTTTTTCATAAGTGGGCCTAGTCATGAAAGGGGCTGATCACTTTTCACTCCCACTGACTTCAACCGGAGATGGGATTTGTCCCAGTTATGAACACAGCTCAGTGCACCTAATGACTGTATCTTCTTGGCATCTTTGAGCCAGAGTGTTAATTAACTAACCCAGGCCACACCGCTAGTTCATTCTCACATCCGTGCCAGCCATCCGAAGGCCAGGCTGCAGACTGGGAGTGTACTTACGGCAAAACGTGCTGTTCCTCCATTTAAGGATGACTCCTTGCTGCTTGCAGGTGTCCACATAGGCCTGAGCGATGCCACAGAGAGTGGACAGCATGCCGTTGTATTTACACATGTCGTAGACGCAGGTCTGGATGAAGAGGTCAGGCTCGACCAGATGGTGACATGGTTTGAAGATGTCCGACTTTAAAACATTGCACTGCTTTTCCACAACTGGTTTGTCCTCCACGCTGCAAGGTGGGCCCAGATCTTCTCGTGTGTCTGGCAAGCAGCTGCAAGGAAGCACAGACAGGGCGTATTTCAGGGGGGAGAGGAGTGTATCGGCTGAAACCCAGCCTAGGACTGTGGCTGCTGGGGAGAGGAGCCAGGCAACCAGCAGCACTGCCGGCTTTCCCCATGCCATCAGTGTCTCTTAGCCTCATGCGGAGGGAAACCTCCACGGTTCATTCCAATGAGCATACAGTGCTCACGCAAGCCTTAACATCCCTGCTGGCCCTGCCAGTGGGTGGTCACTGGGACACCCTTTGGGGAATGCACCCATATCAGTAATTCACTCCACTTGGCTATCACATCAGTGACTTCAGATTGTTCTGCAGTTGGACTGGATGTGACCTGAGAAAATGCTGGTGCATGGCTCAGTAGGAAACCTTTGAGCCATCGCCACACATAATCAGTGTCCCTAAACTTCATCGCAGAGGGCAGAAAAACGTTCACTTTCTGCCCCTGCGACCCACAAGACTTAAGAGCCTCTTTTCTTCTGGGGCGACACCTTTGCTGGAGCCCCTGCCAAATCCCAGCTTCTCAAAGAAGGAGTAGGAGGTACACAACACCAGTGTGTTTTCTTGTGCCTGGCATATTTTAGACCATGGCCGTGGTTAAAATGTCTGCAAGACAGAGTGTGGTTTGAATCCAGTCTAGTGGAGGGGATGAAAAAGAGCCGTGTTTACCCTGCATCACTGTCAGCTTGCACTTTCCAGCTGTTTCCAAACTGTGTGACATTGCTAGCCTGCATGCCATTGGGCATGAGCAGCTCGTCCCCACGCTGGTCATTGTAGTTACCGCACATGCCACATACCTACAACAGAAGAGGACAATGTCGTAAGCACACAGGTCTCCTCCCATCCCCTTTGCTGAGCAAGGACAGACATGGACAATATTGCAAGAGGTTGCTTAGTGGCTTGCACAGTGCTTCCCAGTCCAAGCCATCGCTGTAAAGTCACAGTGCACCAGTGGGGAAACGAAATGACCCAGTCCAAGCCATCGCTGTAAAGTCACAGTACACCAGTGGGAAAACTAAATGCTCCTGCAACACATCTCTGGCTTCCTAAGACGTCCTGGTATTTACCTTGTGAGGGGGCACGTGCTCCTTCTAGTGGAGAGGAGTCAAACAAGCTCTTGAACCAGAACTAACCACTCATGCCTGGAAGTCCTACCTGAGCTGGGCTGGAGGGATCAAAATTAAAGAGGGAAAGCCCTCCACAGACAGAGGCAATGACCAGGTTTCTGGCTAAATGGACAGACCGGCCAAGAGGATGACACTCACAGGCCTTGCTGCCCCTAAGGCTGCATGGGCCAGGAATGAAGCAGGGGTACCTGAAAGGAGATATAGGTAAGCCCTAACCCTGAATAAAGACACTGAACCTGCAGAGAAACCAAACCCCAAAGGCGTGGCCAAATGCCCTCCCCGAACCCGGCCCTGGGCTGGTACCTCAGGGCTCTGTGTTTGCTGCCCTCCCCGAACCCGGCCCTGGGCTGGTACCTCAGGGCTCTGTGTTTGCTGCCCTCCCCGAACCCGGCCCTGGGCTGGTACCTCAGGGCTCTGTGTTTGCTGCCCTCCCCGAACCCGGCCCTGGGCTGGTACCTCAGGGCTCTGTGTTTGCTGCCCTCCCCGAACCCGGCCCTGGGCTGGTACCTCAGGGCTCTGTGTTTGCTGCCCTCCCCGAACCCGGCCCTGGGCTGGTACCTCAGGGCTCTGTGTTTGCTGCCCTCCCCGAACCCGGCCCTGGGCTGGTACCTCAGGGCTCTGTGTTTGCTGCCCTCCCCGAACCCGGCCCTGGGCTGGTACCTCAGGGCTCTGTGTTTGCTGCCCTCCCCGAACCCGGCCCTGGGCTGGTACCTCAGGGCTCTGTGTTTGCTGCCCTCCCCGAACCCGGCCCTGGGCTGGTACCTCAGGGCTCTGTGTTTGCTGCCCTCCCCGAACCCGGCCCTGGGCTGGTACCTCAGGGCTCTGTGTTTGCTGCCCTCCCCGAACCCGGCCCTGGGCTGGTACCTCAGGGCTCTGTGTTTGCTGCCCTCCCCGAACCCGGCCCTGGGCTGGTACCTCAGGGCTCTGTGTTTGCTGCCCTCCCCGAACCCGGCCCTGGGCTGGTACCTCAGGGCTCTGTGTTTGCTGCCCTCCCCGAACCCGGCCCTGGGCTGGTACCTCAGGGCTCTGTGTTTGCTGCCCTCCCCGAACCCGGCCCTGGGCTGGTACCTCAGGGCTCTGTGTTTGCTGCCCTCCCCGAACCCGGCCCTGGGCTGGTACCTCAGGGCTCTGTGTTTGCTGCCCTCCCCGAACCCGGCCCTGGGCTGGTACCTCAGGGCTCTGTGTTTGCTGCCCTCCCCGAACCCGGCCCTGGGCTGGTACCTCAGGGCTCTGTGTTTGCTGCCCTCCCCGAACCCGGCCCTGGGCTGGTACCTCAGGGCTCTGTGTTTGCTGCCCTCCCCGAACCCGGCCCTGGGCTGGTACCTCAGGGCTCTGTGTTTGCTGCCCTCCCCGAACCCGGCCCTGGGCTGGTACCTCAGGGCTCTGTGTTTGCTGCCCTCCCCGAACCCGGCCCTGGGCTGGTACCTCAGGGCTCTGTGTTTGCTGCCCTCCCCGAACCCGGCCCTGGGCTGGTACCTCAGGGCTCTGTGTTTGCTGCCCTCCCCGAACCCGGCCCTGGGCTGGTACCTCAGGGCTCTGTGTTTGCTGCCCTCCCCGAACCCGGCCCTGGGCTGGTACCTCAGGGCTCTGTGTTTGCTGCCCTCCCCGAACCCGGCCCTGGGCTGGTACCTCAGGGCTCTGTGTTTGCTGCCCTCCCCGAACCCGGCCCTGGGCTGGTACCTCAGGGCTCTGTGTTTGCTGCCCTCCCCGAACCCGGCCCTGGGCTGGTACCTCAGGGCTCTGTGTTTGCTGCCCTCCCCGAACCCGGCCCTGGGCTGGTACCTCAGGGCTCTGTGTTTGCTGCCCTCCCCGAACCCGGCCCTGGGCTGGTACCTCAGGGCTCTGTGTTTGCTGCCCTCCCCGAACCCGGCCCTGGGCTGGTACCTCAGGGCTCTGTGTTTGCTGCCCTCCCCGAACCCGGCCCTGGGCTGGGGTACCTCAGGGCTGTTTGCTGTCCCTTAGCTCCCCACCTTGAACCCGGGACTGGGTCTGAAACCCTGGTCTATTGTCTCTAGCGCTCAGCATAATTGACTCCCGGCTCGACCTGGTGACAGACCCAAGCCCCTGGAAGTAGCGACTGCAGGAGTGGACTGACCAGAGGCCAGAGCCCCGAACTCTTGATACCGCTGATTCCCCAAGTGAGACTAAGCAAGGATGCAGTGAGGCGCCGGGGCTGCCCACTGACCCAGAGCAGGAGGGCCCCCTCCCACCACCCTGGTTGGCCACACCGACCCTCCAGCGCAGCAGGCAGACAGCTTATGAGCTGTTTGCAGCGTAGAATACTACTTACACTGTAGTAGCTATCGTCCTTATCCCTGCAACCGCACTCGCTCAGTGGCACACACTGGTCATCGCTCAGCACGTAGCCCTCGCTGCACACACAGCCTTCCGCACACTCGTCTGGCTTTTCACACAGGGAGGGCGCGTAGATGTCATTGCATGTCGCAGGGCAGGGAGAAGCACAGTCTGTGTAATAGCTGTTGGATGGACAAGGCAGCGCTGGGAAGAGAATAAATACAGCCTTATTACAAAGCACAAGAGAACTTTTTGATGTTCCAGAGTGGACATGCCTGGTGCTGGCTGGAAGTCAGCGCCTGGATGGTGACAGATCAGTGTAGGTTACTTCTTTCCTTTCCGGTAATGGCATAGCTGTGGATTCCTGTTCTCTTTCAAACAGGTCAGCCTCTCTGAAACTATCCATTCAATTCTAGCACGAGCACGTCTGCATGCGTGGCGTTTGGTTGAGGTGTGCTACCGGTTGAACATCTCCAGTCTGGGACCCTCAGGACCAGAGAATTTTCAAGATTATGGGAGGTCAGTATTGTCTAGCAGCATGACCAACACTGCCACTGCTTACTGGGCACTTAGAAGACACGGTGGGGTAAATTAGAGCTAAATAACTGCACAGAACACGGAGAGCCAGGACTGGTGGTTGTAAACAAACTTTATGGAATTGTTGGAAATTTGGCCACACTCATTGTAAGGGGACATCTGGCTAACTACAATCCTGTCAGACCACAGATGTTGCTGGACCAGAAAGTGCCAGATTAGAGAGGTTTAACCTGTAGTTCAGTATCACATGCAGTCTTGGTCATTGTTCCCAAAATAAATATACAAGAAGACTCAGAGGGGTAGCCGTGTTAGTCTGTAACTTTAAAAACAACAAGTGGCCCTGTAGCACCTAAGGGTATGTCTACACTACCACCCTAGTTCGAACTAGGGTGGTTAATGTAGGCAACCGAAGTTGCAAATGAAGCCCAGGATTTGAATTTCCCGGGCTTCATTTGCATCTTGCCGGGCGCTGCCATTTTTAAATGTCCGCTAGTTCGGACTTCGTGCCCGCGGCTACACGCGGCACGGACTACGTAGTTCGGACTAGGAAGCCTAGTGCAACCTTATCATTTTAGACACCCTTTTAGATACCTGAAAACTGCTATCATGTCCCCCCTCAATCTTCTTCTTGATTGGGATTTGGAAGCCCACTTTACTAACCTCAGGCCAAACACTGGAGGACAGTGTGTTTCTGAAACAGAAAAGTGAGTATTCTCATATCTTGTTCATTGCTCCAAGTTTTATCACTTTAAAAACACATTCAGATTGCTGGTTTGTGGGAAAGTGAGTACAACAAAGATCAGGAGCAATGCTTTTAAAACTAGCTGAAATCATAAAAACAAAGTTGTAAGTACTTGGATTAAAAACAACGCTTTTAGCGGGATTTCAAGTGTCATTATATTCGCTAGTCATGTGCATTCAGGGAATGGCATTCCAAGGCTTTTATTAAAATACCTGTGAATTCTGAAAATTCCAGGAATTTTAGTACATATGTTGTCAGACATAAAAAGATTGAAAAAGTTCATTATTCATTGTTCATTAGTGTCCCTTTTCAAAACCTTTAGTAGTGATCCAGGAAGCAGAAACAATCCCATGTGAAGAATTACACAACATAAATACTAAGCACACACAACAATTGGGTTGAAATAAGATTAATAAGAGCCTGTAGCCAAGGGTGCAGACAGTCTCTGTGGGCCCCTGGACAAGGAGGGCAGGATGGAGGTCTGGCTCTTCGATCCCAGAAAGGACGGGGCCTGAGGCAGCCTGACATCAGCACCACCTGGAGTGTGGCACACTCTTCCTCCCCCAGCCCTTAGCACTGCTCAGAGTGCGTGGCACAGCACTCCAAGGGGAATTTAAAGGGCCTACGTCACTAGCTGCTGCTACACATTCTGTTATTTACAGATATAATTACATGTACATGTGTGCATGTCATATATACAACACTGGCATGAGTCATCAGCAAAGTTTTGAAAATGCGCCCATATTGTATAGAAGAAACAAAGTTTCCCATAGTTAGGACTAGTTACTTTCTAACATACATGACTTTTTCTTAGGGTATGTCTAGACTACATGGCTCCATTGACGGAACCATGTAAACTAGTTTACCTGGCATAGGCAAACAAGTGGGGATTTAAATAATCCCCACTTAATTAAAATAAACATGGCCGCCGTGCTGTGCTGACGATCAGTTGATCCGGCACAGCACAGCAGTCTAGACATGGATCTGTTGGCCGGGGAAGTCTTTGCCAACCGATCCTGTAAACCTCATTTCACGAGGCATAAGGGATTGGTCAGCAAAGGCTTCCCCAGCCGACAGATCCACGTCTAGACTGCCGCACC